CTACAAAGCACATTGGATGCACTTAAGACCTATATGATAATAAAGGAAGGAAAGATTCCTAATGAATTGGCTGGCATTTTCCCCTCACAGGTAAAGTATTATAACTTGATTATTTCTCTTGGATTCTTCTTTGCCTTGCATTTCATTGCAAGTTGCTTCTAATTATGATATCATAACGATTTTGGGTTTGTGTTCTTTTTAATTTTCTCTTTACTATTTGTTGTGCATGTTTGAGTTTCACTTATATTCCTTTTACATGGTTTGAACATGTAAATTGTAAAGGGATTATATAGGTTTGTTTTATTGCCTTCATTATTTTTGCTTTGGCATATCAGTTTTATTTTCCTTTATACTGTTACATACTTTTATTTGAATGTGCTAACTCTTTACTTGTTAACATAATTATGTACTTATGCTACATGTAAATGAAGTGGTAATGATTTCTATTGCTTACTTTGTCATTTTGTTCAGTGTATAGAGGCATGAAACAAGTGTTTCTTTAACTTTGTGATATCCTTTTCATGTTTTTATGAGATTAGCATTCTGATACATTGGGCCGAAGAGAATTGAAGGCTATGTCATCCATTATAATTTTTAGGATTAACAATTGAAATCAAAATTTTGTGCTTTTTCTTTTAATAGATTATTCCTTTCAATCTTTAGCTTTTGATTATGATCTAATAGTGCTTTTGGATTTTATAATTTTTCAATTCTCTCTTTACTATGTTGTGCATTTGCCATATTTCATCTCTGTTCATTGTACATGATTTAATTTTGATCATTGATATGACAAGTGCAATAATATAGTTATATTTCTTTTCACATTACTAATATTATTTTATTTTTCATATTTCAGCCAAATGATGTTGGAAGTGAACTTGATTCATCATTAAATGCTAGAGGATCATCTCATGGTAGATACTTGAATAACCAAGATAATATTTAGTGTTATTTTTATCTCATGTTCTCATACTACTCTAGGTTTTTATGGATTTAGACCTTTTAATGGTATTGTAATCATTATAGTTGATGAATTATATTTAGTTTTGCTATGAATGTTTAAACTATTTACCATCCTATCAATGGAATTTGGTTTATATTACGAGTATATTTGTAAAGTTATTTATGTATACAGGTTCAATATAATTTAGATACAACATTAAATATGTTGTATATGTTTTTAAAAAATTGCTATTATAATTATAACAACATTAAACTGCTAAAAAATTAAAAATAGGCATTTAAAATAGAGAAGGTTAAAAACCGCCGCAAATAAATTGCCGCTAAATTGCCTAAGCAAAAACTCCCACAAATAAATAGCAACCGCTGCGATTATGAGAGGCTAAAAATCGTTGCAAAAAGACTGCCACAATATGCAACAAGTAACGGAGGTCAGTCAAAACTGTCACATAAAGTTTGTGGCAAACTTATCCATGGCAATTTTTAAAAATGCCCCAATCCATTTTGAGGAGGTCAAAAACTGCCTCAAAATGACCAAATAACTACCACAGAATTACAATTTTCTTGTAGTGATTGCATTAACATTGTCATGCATAATCAAAATGACCTATAACTAACAAGATTTGCTAGAACATATATTCTTAGACTTATTGCAAGATTTATGTTAGTAGATCACTCTAGTAGCAGAGTCACAGTTTGATACTTGTAGTTTTAGCGTTACAAGGCAATATAGTTGGGGAGGATCAACCCCTAGTAATTATTTGTTTATAAGTCCCTAATATGCAACCATTGAAAAATATTTGAAATATCAAAATTATGATGGGTATAAACTTGTTACATGTTTTTCAACACTGTAAGGAGAGTACATAAGAGAGCATATTACTTGTGCAGTAATATGTATAAGTCATTCACATTTGATGAGATGCACACATTATATGAGACCATGCTTTCTCTACATAGTAAACAATGGAATATCTTAGAACTAACATTATCAGTTGATACACCTATTCAAAGTGGACACACATAAAAGCCACATGTTGATATTGGATAGCATAAGAGACATAGAGAAAGTATAGATTTGTAATGGCATCGAACATAGGTGTAGATTAAAAATTGGTCTATACTTTCTCCATAGTTTTCATTTATCCCTTCTCAATCTATACAGAGTTCCTTCTTTTACTCTTCCCAACCTACTACACACAACAACATTTGTATCACCCTTTGATTGATGATAATAGTATCAGCACTTTTTGAATGGTGCTTGCTTGTGCACACCACATGGCACCATTTCTCCCATTCCTTACAAAGGTGATATTTCGTCATCAGCTAGTTTGTGTCAATACAAGAATTATTATTTCTCTACAAGGTTTAATACCTAATTAAAAAATAACAAAAAAATAAAATGATCCATGTAGGTGGGATACATCATGTGATGTGATAAAAAAAAATTCTTAGACAAAAATAAATAGTTTTAAATAATACCTATTTAAGAATATGTTTTTAAAATTTTATTTTTAGGTAAAAACAAAAAGTCCCATAAAATTAGCATGCCAAGTAAAATATCTCTTAATTAACCTAATTTGTAGTATTTAAATTGTCTATTTTTAATGATTATTTAATATTTTTAAAAATTAATAATAAGATTAGTAATAATGCCTGATTTTCAAACCAATCAAAGAGTACAAATTAATGATGTCATGTTTAAAAAAATGTTCATTCTTTTGCAGTTAATTACTGATCCACTATTTTGTTTATAATTTTAAATAACAAATGACATAAATCCATGTTTTATAAATATTACCATAATATAAATTTTTAGAAAGTATACATTGAAAATTATTGTTGAATCTTTTACAAACATTACCCTAATATAAATTTGCAGTAACATTAATTTGAATAAACAATTCAAATTTCAAGCAATGCTTGAATCATCACAAATTAACACCGAGGTTTGAGCCAATTTCTGTGTGCATTTCATAGCGGTTGGATGAGACTTGAGGCGTATTAGAGTATCGTAATACAATGATCCAATCTTAATTACACAAATATATCCTCCTTAATCAGGGCTAAGATTGGTACTAATTTATTCTACCATATATGCATGATTTGCATATATAAATATCTAAAATATTCTAACAATTATGATGTGCACATAGAAGGTTAATTGGCTTATGTTCCTATTTTGTTATTAATAAATTATTTTTATACATATAAAATGTAAATAAGTTTACTTCTATGCATTGTTGCATATTTAGTATTTACTTGTTGAAAATATCTTTCATGTAGCAACATTTGTTTAGTAGGAACCGTATAAAATTGGAAGTAGATATATAGGGAGGTGTTGGAGGATGAGTGGTACGATGTCATAGTACAATATGTACTCAAATTTCTATTTTTCTCCCTTTCTAATTTTTTTGTATTAATACCTAATCTATACTTTATGAGTTTAATCAATTGAAACTTTAAACATAACTTATATTTTTTAATGTGTCAAAATTTATAATTTTTTTAATAAAGCATGTTTTGAGATGCTTAAATCACTTGTTGCTTTATAAACTAGAATTTAGTTCAACTTGGTGCCCTGAGTGCTTAAGACTTGCACTCTTTTATTTTTTTTATAATTATCTCAATTTAATTTATTTCTTTATTTTTATTTTTTTTTTGGTATGTTGTCATATTTTTTTCAGCAATTTTTACTCATTCATTCATAACTTCAGGTAGATACGTTGAAACTTGAACCTGTGTCAATGCTTTACTCACAAAATTTTAATTTTAATATCTTTATAATTTTGCCAATTTTTATTCAAAGTTAGAATCAATCAATTTTATACGGTGCACCTATGTGTGCGGATTTGATATTTTATATACGTGAGATTTAATTATTAGTTACTTACATGTTAACTTTAATGTATTATACTATTTTAATATTAATCATACTATTTTATGATATCTATTCTGAAAAATATTAATATATTTTTAAAAATATATTAAACTAAAAAAATTATTTTATTAAATAATAAACATGATATAAATATATAAATATATGTTAAAAAAAATATAAGCTCATAGTATATAAACTAACACTTCTCCCTTCAACTCCAGCCTATTAACCTTAACTAAAGCATCCACATATTTAACATCGAAAACATTTTTGTTCCACGATTTTAAAGTGCAGCTTCAACCTTTTTTAAAAAGCTTTTATTCTAAACATGCTCTAAGCCATTGACTTCAATATCATTCCTATTTTTATTTCACCATTCTCTTAAAATTCTTATCTTATCTCGAGCCAAGCATCTATAACTCTAAAGGGCTTTGGGCTCCATTTTTTTTTTCCTGCTGTTTAGATTATCACTAGATAATGGACCTTTGTAATCGTTTTTGAACCATTACTTTCCATTTTGACATCCACTCCTTTGTTAGAGGAGATCTATTCAGTCTACGGCTAGTTTTGTCATCCCCTTTATACCATGTGAATTTTCGTCCACTCATAGATATATAAAACATTCAATTTCCTCCATACTTTTCTTTCTTAATATTTCCTCCCACATCGCCTTTCCCTCCCTACTTGTACAGGGAGCATAAACTTTGATGCATCGTATATCTAACTAATATAATGATGTACTAATAGCACAAGTCAATTTTTCATATCATATTATTGTTACATCGTATTACTAACATAAAATTATAATATTTATATTAATAATCCAATTCTCGTCGGATAAAAAATTTATTAACTAGAGTAATAAATAATTCATATTTCTATTTCATTAATATATAATATTTTTTTGTAGCGATTGGAATTTTCTTGATACTACATTATGCTAGGAAGAACAAAAGTTAAAGCATCTAGAAAACAATTAAAGCTAAAAAAGCAGCTTAAGCTTAAAATAAAAGGTTATTATGGTAAATTAATAGAATATAGAAGCTTTATTACAATTAGCTGCAATGTTAGGACTTGATTAATTAGGACTAATATCAATTAACTGATTCCCATTTATTGTAATTAGCCTAATACTCAGAGCCCATTATTGTCTCCGCTCCTATACATTATAATCTTGGTGTTGATGGTAGTACTTCAGCATGGAATTGCTACTTTCACCCACATCTAGTTCAGGCCTATATACCACATCCTCTAACTCTTGTTTTGTCACTACATTTTGAAAACCCATGAATTTCAAGTGCCTTTGGAAAGGTAAAAGATGGGGCTGCATTGGTGGTGGTGAGGGTTGTGGTACCACTGAAGGGAGCTTAGAGAGTATGGCTTCAAGGTTACTCACTGAGGGAGTTATCTTTATTGCTTGATTGAAATGGTCATGTAATTCAGCTTGGGGTGCAACACTGCCTTGGAAATGCAAATTCTTTAGAGTACCGTAACCTTCCACCTTAGAGGGGTACGCTGAAGATGATGAATGTGGTAATAGCACGCCAGGGATGCTTTCAATATAGCTAAATCTTTTTCTCAATAGAACCACGTAGTTCAAGTCTTCAATCACCTTGAGTGCCATGAACAACAACGACACAGAATGGACCGTATATGAGTGAGTACAAATGTAAATTATAATTTTGTCTAACTATTTGCGTGTGTAGAGAGAAAAAGATAACCTTGTGAACACCTCCTAGTTGAATAACACCCTCTTCTACTGCAATAAGTGCTATGGTCTGCAGTTATACAATTGGATCAAATATAGAAATTAAAGCAGATTCTCTATGAAAGTTAAGGAGTTATGTTGAACCAACATTGGTACAGTAATGTTATCAAATATGAACGAGACTGATAAGATTTTGGTGTTAGTTCAAATTTAAAGCTGGGTTGTGGATTAGAGCTAAGTTCGAACCATCGATAACTTGCATTACTTTTGTTTTACAATTGAATATGCTTTTTTTTAATATTATTTATTTTAAATTAGAATTATCATTCATAAAATTTAATTTATTTTACATTATAATTTATTAATATAATCAATATTTGATTTTCATTTATGATAACGAAATAACGATGAAAACGAGAGATCATTGCAATTGAATATATAAAATTTTCTTAAGAAAGTTCAAATAATTCACAGATCAGTTAGAGTATTTATTTTGAATATTTATGATTACTTGAAGTGTTTACTTTAATATTGTTGAACTAATTAATTTGATGATATTTTTTGTTTTACATTTATTGAATAGATATTTATTTTTTAAATTTTAATGTATTTAAAAAATATTTATTAACGTAATATTTTACTTTTAACATACATTAAAATAATATTTTTTAAAATATCATAGAAACAAGTTGTCCACATAAGTCCGCTGTTCGTCGAGACCCAAGTTTGCACATTATTTTTAAGAGATGAATTGTCTTAAACTTTTCTTTAACCATACACATATTAACCCCTATACTCATTGTGCATTGGGCCGAGTCGAGTAATTTAAATTGACAGGTCTAAATTACACACTAATGATACTAGTTAGGGGGTACTCTACCAGCTTATAGTTAACACTTGGTGCAGTAGGAGACACTGCCCTCAAAGCAAATATATAAGGACAAATTGGTATGATTGAGTAGAGAGACCATAAATGAGAAAAAAAAATGGACAAATAAATAAATCTTGATTTAAAAACATGTCATTTTTTAAGGAAAAGTAAAAGACGTAGTAGTACTCAAATCGTATATTGTCGCAGTGCGATGCACAAACTGGAGTATCCATACTTTCATAGCTAAAAAAATTGGCTCACATGAGTGTGAGTGTCATACCTTTATACCAGACTGAAACTGGGCTTCCCAAGTCCTAGGGTACTGTAAAAGAACATATATAATAAGGATGTCACATGTAAGTCTTATATCATGCACTATGTGCATATATAGAAATCTTTTCAAGTAACTTTTACCATTATTATGAAATCACTAATTTAGCTTTAAATTATACATTGACAAGCATTTGTCATTTTTAACTAATGCTCACTTTGTAAGCATAAGCAAGATTGAGTTTTCATTTCTCACCGAATCTGCCAAATTTTGCCATGCTGACAAGAAGTTGATTCCTTGATCATTAGGTTCTTTGTATATCCACTTGTGACCGTGATCCGCCGCCACTTTCCCTATCAAGCTGGTCCATGAAATTTAATTAACTTCTTTGCTTTGAAATTCTCGGGAGAACGAAATATGGGGCATTTTATGTCACTCAAAGGGTACTCTACAGTTATAATTGATATGCATACCCTTCTCCATAATTATAAATCTCATGTGACATCTTGAAGAAGAGCTCAGGTTGCTCCCATTGGTAGGGTTGTAACTCACTGTTCCCATGGGCAGATGAAGTAGGACAAGATCCAGAGTTAATTTCAGGTGTTGAGGAGGCAGCAAATTTGCAGAAACCATCTTCCCATGCCAATATCCTGCATGCACACGCTATATATAAATAAGTCTTAACCAAACACGTAGTCTTGTGTTAAAATTTAGAACAAATGATATCAAATCACATTTTTGAATACACTCTTCAACACCCTTTGTGTCATTTGTTCATTTTTAAAAATTGAAAACATGTCTCATAAATTAATAGTTTTTTAATAATTTTTTGACCTTTTAAAAAATTGACAAATGACAAAAAATATATTAAAGAGTGTGTTCAAAGGTTAATGGCTAGCATTTCTCTATATATTTTGCAATGAATTAGCTAACTCAAAATTTACCAGTTTCTTCTATTTCCTTTGGATCTATCATAAGCCCCTTGACCTTCCCATCTATATATATCACGAAGATATACACATGCATAAAAATTAAATCAACATATTTGTACAAATACATATATAATTTGTTTACATTTATATACTTGGGCGAGAGAGGTTGCCCAAGTAGTGAAATTCTGTTTCCATGAATAAATTGTTTACATGGTTTTGTTTCCTTACTTGGGTGGTGGGTAGTATCTAGGCAAGATCCTCCAGAAGATTGCATAGACCCATTGAGAATTTTCCTGGATGCACAAGCTTCTGAGTGCGTATTGAAGGAGATATATAGCAGCCAATGGACTGAGATGCATATCCGTTATCAAATCCTCACAATCAACTTTGCTGGTTCTATCTTATCCCTTTCTTCTCTTGCTCCTTCCTCCTTTACCTAGTACAAGGGGAAATGCAACATCCTTTATATATGCCCACCAACAAGAAAATTTCACATTTATTCCTCCCTCTCTCTCCTACGTATACATTTGGGCTGGTGAAATCATTGAATCACATATAAGTTTTCGGTTTCAATTCGATTATTTAAATACTTAAAAATTACATATATATATATATATATATATATATATATATATATTTAAATATAACTAAAAATAAAATTAAGATAGAAAAAAATAATTATAAATTTCTCAAAAACTTATTCAAAAAATGTTTTTATTTAATTTATTAAAATTACTTTTCTTGTGATCCCACATGTTTTTACTTCTTGGTTCGCAAAAGCTTCGTTTTTCCAATACCGTACATTTTTTAAACATCCTCACCCAAGTTCACGAATCATCTGTCAGCAGCAAAGACTGGAACTTAATAGTGTATTATTATATTTGGGGTTGCAACAACGATATAATTTATAAGTTATACACGTATAAGTAGAAAAATATTTATTATATTATTAGAGGGATATCTTTGAGATATAAAGTTTAGAAATACACACACACACACATATATATATATATATAAAAGATATATTTTATGACATAATAACAATATCATAATAATAATAATATAAATATAATATTTAATATTTCTTTTAGTTTTTTATAAGAAATTATTATTATTATTATTATTATTTATCCTAATCATAAAAAAAATTAACATGTGTATAAAGAAATGTTAATAAATAAATAATTTTATTAAAAATCTATCATTCAACATTAGTAACTCATTGAGTCATGTGATATTTTATTATTTTTAATAAAAAAATTTATCATACAAAAGTCCTTAAGTACCCGGTAAAAAATTATTTTTCGACTAAAAAAGTGAAGGGAGTAAAATTTAAATAATAAAAATAATACATACTTTCTTTACCCAACTTTCTTCTGAACCTCGAAAGTAATACGTTTGTCATTCCAAAATTATAATACTATCTGTTTTATATTGATAAAATAAATGTGTAATATTTATTTTAATTATATATTTATTTTAGAAAAAAAATTGTGTCAATAGAAATATTTTAATGTCTATCACACACACAGTACATTAAATGTTTATACTAATGAAAATGATATTATTAGTATGCATCATATTAATTATTAGCATAGACTTATAATATTTGTATGAATAATTTAATTTTTATTAAAAAAGTTAATAATATGACGAGAAGCATTAACATTTAACTAATAGTGTGTTTTTTAGTAATATTATTCTCACAGTAATTTGTACATCAAGATAGATGTGAGAAGAGTAAAGAAAACATATTAAATATATAGATATATGTTTTAGCCAAAAAATATATAGATATATGATATGATACAAAGAGAGATAAAAAATAATAATATTATAAAAAGATGTGAGAATTTTAGGTGAAAACGACGTTAACATTTTTTTTTCATACATTACGTTGGATGCTTGACAAGGAGAGGATATAACAAAATTTTAATTTTTTTTATTGTTTATTACACAAAAGAATAAAGATGAAGGAATTCTTTTATGGGATCTACGTTAAAAAAAATCTCCTCTCAAATAGGTAAGGAGAAAGCTATTTTTAGTTTTTTTTTTTTTTTCATCTGTTTCCGACACACTGTAAGGAATTATTAGTGTTGATGATTTCAGGGTAGACGAACTTCCCAAGCCACAACCATTGCTTCAACTCCACCACTACGTCCAGAACACTACACCTCATAGCTAGCTCAACATTTTGGCAGAACATGTTTAACTTTTGCTTCTGACAGATTTTGTTTTTCATTCGTGTTATAATTTTGTTCGGTTTTCTCCTACACATGCATATGAGTAACTACAAAGATCATGGGGAACAAGATATTCCTTAGGTGAAAGCGAAGTGTCAAACCTTAATAAATGTTTGGTATACTGCTTCGGTGCTACCTTAAGCAGTGCAGTAAATAGCTACTGATAGCAACATCACTAATAAATATTTGATCCTGAATAGGATAGGTGCTGTTATGAATAAGATACAGTTGATTGTGAATGACCTACTTTTATTTATTCAAATTATCATTAAATTAAAGATTTTTTTAACTTCAATCGACTTAGTATTAAGAATAAATGACTAATAATAATAATTTTAAAAAAATATTTATTATATTTTTATAACTTTTATATGACAAATAGGAATGTTTTTCATAAAAAAAATTATATTTATGAATATTTAAACTCAGTTTTAAAGTTGAGAAACAAAATCTTAAAATTAAAACCCTCTCGAATGAAAATAGTGGAACATCTTAATGATGATGCAGATACCATGCTATTACTAATTTAAATAGGTGGAAAAGTTTTATTTTTTTTCTAATTTAATTTTACCGTTTATAAAAAATAGTGAAATTAATTATTGGTGGTGTCACATGGTGAGTTTGTGTTACAGCACCTTTTGGGTGGTCGATGACAACCTTTATTGACATTAGGTGAAGGGATTAATTCTCTTAAAAAATGCTAAATCTCATATTTTGCATTGTTGTGAACTGTCAGACATTGTAGTCATAATATTTAGATCTCAAAAAAGGAAAACAGAACAGAATGATCTCAGTTATTATTATTATTATTATTTCTAGCCAAAACTAGAAAATAGAATTAAACAATGCAAGGGAAAAAGTTGCACGTCTCACGTTCATTATTTATATGAGGTATATTAAAGTTCAACTAATATCTTTTTCAAATCCAGGAGGGTAGAATTCTGAGCTTTGGATGGAATGTATAATCAAGTGGTGCCGATTTTCTAGGTTTGCAATTTTCAGGTTTATCTAGATGCAAGAAGAAAAAGCGACTCTCTTGGCAAATCACATTGTATGCCATCATTAATTTGATATCTTGTTAACAAGAAATAAAGTAATTCTTAATTCAAATGCAACGAATTTGATTGAAACCTTGGATTAATCAAATAATGTCGTTGACGGAGAAGTAGCCAGGTTTCAACTACTCTTATTGTAATTGATTTTATAATCCTGTACCTTGTTCGGGGCTTCAATGAGAAATTTGAGGTAGGTGTTTTAGTTCAATGGATTCTGAATTGTGTGGTAAACCTATTATCCACAACATTTTGATAGAAAAAATTGTTCTTTGTATCATTAAGAAGGGTGTCATATATATATATATATATATTTATAAAAGTTGTTGATATCACGTGTCAAACAAGTTATTAGTTGAAACAATGTGTCGTTGGTTAAGCTAATATGTTGGTCTTATTTGAATAAATTTTTCGACAAATTTTTATAGGAAAAAAAATCAATATAAAAATAAATAAAAAATTTTATAAGTTAAAAATAAATTTATAATTTTTAGAAATTTTGAAAATCTTTATCATTTATCTCTTTTTTTAATTGATAAAAGAAATTTTTATTTATTTTTATATTATTCTTTTCTTTGATAAGAATTTCTTTGCAAGTTTACCTGAACAAGGTTATATTTAGGTGAAATTGTGGATAAGTATTTGTAAGAGAAGAAAAATAATATAAAAAATAATAAAATTCTTTTTATTATATCTTATAAGTTAAAATCAACTTATACTTTTTATTTTTAAAAGTTATTTTTATTTTACTTCTCTAAAACTTAAAAAGATAAATAATTTTTTAACTTATAGAAAGAGTTTTATTTAATTTTTATATTATTTTTTCTTTTATAAAAAATTATTCACAGCTGTCAAAAAAGACTTTAGCCTAAAGGGCAATTCTATCTAACTTTGAAATAATTCATCTAGTCATGCCCTTGTAGTAATTAAAAAAAAAAAAGTAATTAGGTCTTAAATTGATTAGCCCAAAATACGCGAGTTAGTGTGGAATATTCCATGATTTAGTCTTGACGTAAAAATACTCCAAAATCATATTGAAAAATTATTATTCTAAAATTTTAAATAAATATAAATTTTCATTTCGATTTGCATTTGTTGTGCATTTGTTAATTGTTGTTCTTTTTCTTTTCTTTTATTATTTTTTATTTGTTATTATGAAAAAAAAATTAAATATATTAAAATGTATGTTATAATTAATTAATAAAACTATTAGCATTATATTAATTTTAAACATATAAAAATAACTTTTTAATAAAATATTATTATTAAATATTTAAAATAAATCTTAAAAATTAATGGCAATAAAAATTTTATAACCTAAGTAAATTTACATGTAAATTCATGTTTATTTCATTATTAATGTTGAATTTTTAGTCATAATTATTAAAATTTAAATGTATGTTTAAGTATTCTCTTATCTATTGTGTAAAAGAAAATACGCATACTTAAAATTATTCTTCTCTAAAAGATGTTTCTTTTACTTTTATTAGTTTTCTTGTTAATTGCTTAAAAAAATCACCATAAAATGTATAAATTATGATATAAACTTTAAACGAATAATAAATATCTTTATAGAGTGTGTTAATAAATCCACATGTATACTTATACTATAGAAATTTTTAAAACTATAAAAGTACATATTTTTATTGTTGTTAAATTATTATTTTTTTCTGTCTCCTTACTATTTTTTATATTACTCTAGATCAATTGTATCGTTATAATTAACTTAGTTAAGGCTTAAAATATTATAATTTTATGATAAAATAAAAATAATATTAAATTTAAAAGATTTAAAGAATTAGATGAATTATATATTTATATTTAAATGATGAAAAATAAAAATAATAAAAATAATAATATTTATTTTATAATGGGTATATTCTTTTTTGTTGAGCTCTTTCCCCTTCTTAAGTTTGATTTGTTGGGCTCTTCTTAGCCCAGATTTGTATAGTTTGTTTGTTTTGGGTTTTGTAGTCCCGTTTATTGACAAAAAAAAGAAATGATGAAAAATATATATAATGGGTATATTCATTTTATTTCATATTAAATATTATTTAAATAGTT